CTGATGTTTTCGTTGAATTTCACCAGTCCATGCTGGGTACTTCCTTGAAATGGATCATCCTTCACTGGTGCAACTTTGAACACCGATCTCCAATTCGGCTGGATGCTTTCGAGCCAATTTCTACCAAGAATTGCAGGCTGGTCCTTGATATCTGCTACAATCAAGACGTCAGACATGATTTTGTCACCATATTGCACTTTGACTTGGGCTTGACCCAATAGAGGCAATGTCCCAGAGTAGGACTTGAATCTGTAAGTAGGTTTATCCAGTTTTACGTGCTGCAATTTCCCATGATACAAGTCTGCTGGAATGACACTCATTGACACACCAGTATCAACTTCCATAATTACTGGTCTATCATTAATTTCAACAGTCACTGTGAGTGCATCATCCTTTGACTTCTCAGACACCGTGAACAACCCAAGGGTATGCATTTCACAATCACCTTCCTCACTTAATTCAGAAACAACAAATTTGGTTGACTTATTCTTACAAACAGCTGCTAAGTGGCGACCTGAAAGGACTCTGAAAAGAAGCAGGCTGCTGCCAAGAGAACACACGACAGAGGTCGTACCAGCATTCATCAGTTTTCACCTGGTCAGCGTGTCATGGTACGTGCATACAGAGGAAAAAACAAATGTGACTATGGAGTTATTGTGCAAGCTTTGGGACCAGTAAGATATTTTGTTCAAGTTGGTGATAAACAAAAACAGGTTCATCTTGATCAAATCATAAGAGGACCCATTAATGACCTTCCTCCATCTACCTTAGAGGATGACGATGATATACCTATTACACTAGCATCACATGACCAGTCTGATGGACGAACATCACCTCCTCGGGAACAAACTACATCCACAGGGAGAATAAACAGAAATCCTGATCGACGTCCACCGAACAGGCTGGATTATAAGTAACTATAGAGAGGAGCAGAATGCATGCATATATTTGTTTCAACTCCAAGAAGGAATCTTTTAAAATGCATGCGTTAATTCATTGATTTGTTGGATCTCCATGTGGAGCAGCATATGACTTATTTGACTCACTACCAGGAGGTATCAATATTTTGGGCCAAGATGAAAACTTTGGAAGTCCTTGAAAGAAGAATTAATTTTGACGATGATTTTGGAAATGATATTTTATTTTGATGATGAACAAACAATGTGATGCGGAAGGAGTGTTATGTATATATGGAACAACATAGTAGACATACCAGCTGCAATGCATACCAATGTAATGTACATATGCCAATGTAATGTACATACCAGCCAGTGACAATAGGACAATAGATGGATACCTGAATAGCATACCATTACCACTATAGGAAGAATGTCACTGCTTTGAACTTGCAAGCCACTTCACTACCAGCAGCCAAGTAGAAAGGACTAATTAGCTCTCAGGTAAAGCACACATGTATATAGCAGTGGCGGATCCAGGGGGGGGGGCCGAAACGGCCGCGGCCCCCCCTATTGGCGACGCAAAAAAAAAAGACGAAAAAAAAGAAAGGAGAAGAGAAGAAAAAAAAGGAGAAGAGAAGAAAAAAAAGGAGAAGAGAAAAAAAAAAGGAGAAGAGAAGAAAAAAAGGAGAAGAGAAAAGAAAAGAGAAGAGAAAAGAAAGAAGAGAAAGAGAGAGAAAGAAAAAAAAGGAGAAGATACCACCCCCCCCCCCCCCCCCCACTCCCACTCCGGGGTCGGAGGGACCGATTTTGTGTTCCCAAAATTTCGGATAAAGGGTTACTTTTCACGCAACAAAGTCCGGCCCGTAATACACACATATCCGGCCCGCACTGACTTTACACACCGAAGATAAAGGGGTGCTTTCAAACTAAGAGAGGGAACATACATGCGCGTACCCTAGATAACACTGAGTGGGTGGGGGGGGGGGTGGGAAGGGGAAGAGAAAAGTCGGTGAGAAAGGGGGAAAGACAAGGAAATGGCGCTAAGTGACAGTAACGACGAATAAGGGAAAAACTGTAATCGGGAGATTTGGGGTCATTCCAGAAGGCTTGGGAAACGTTATTGAATAGAGGGGGCCATGTCGGCCGCATAAAATCTCGAGCCACAGATTCAAAGTTAAACGTTACAAACAGCCCCTGCTTTTTGAAAAAAAATTGAAAAGGGCACAATATTTTGGATGTCTTTCAAATAGAAGCTATATACTAAACAGTCAAATTTTAAATTAACGGTAGGGCCGCTTCACAACTCTTATTTTGCCCTTCATTTGGATTCAGCTCATACCAACTCGCTTGTGCTTATATTTGAACTCATGTTGGTAGTGATAATGGACAGCGGCGGCAATCCTGGGCCCGATAGGGGGACACGTCCCCCCGGAAATTTAGATATATAGCTAGAAAGAAATATACATGTAGCGGAAAGAACGTACATATTGAACTAAAGGATTTTCTAGAATGCATAATTTCAGCATTCTACATTGCAAAATCTCGCTTGGTCGCTATGCCCCGGCCCTCGCCCGATAACACAAAACTAAGATATGACGCTCCCGGTCGCGATTATTTCATGGTTGGTGTATAAATAGATTTTGTTTTTCCCCTTTCATTTCTACTGACCTAATTGTATGCTATCACAATCATGATTGTTTCATTTTCCCTTTAAAGCATGCGTAGCTAGGGGTGGTAGGGGCAGTAAGAGGACATAGGACGAAAAAAGGAGCAGACAAAGAAACATTTTTGACAAATGTCTAAAACGGTACAACAAATCATCTTCTTTCTCTAATAATTTAATGAAACGTTAAATTCTGCGCTTTGCGCTGGAGGGGGAAACTGAAACGTCAGAAGCTTACGCGCTACGCGCGGGAGGAGTAAAAACTGAATTCAGACAAGGATTTAGAATCGAGAATGGAACAACGAATCATCTTCTTTCTCTAATAATTCTATGAAACGTCAAAGCTTCCGCGCGGAGCGGGGAACTGAATTCAGACAATGATTAACAACCGAGAACGATACAACGAATCGTCTTCTTTCTCAAATAATTTAATGAAACGTCAGAGCTTCTGCGCTTTGCGATGGAGGGGGAAACTGAATTCAGAGAAGGATTAAGAGTCGGGAATGGAACAACAAATTATCTTCTTACTCTAATAATTTCATTAAACTATGAAAGGTCAAAGCTTCCGCGCCTCGCGCGGAAGGGGGAAAATGAATTCAAACAAGGATTAAGAATCGAGAATGGGACAACGAATCATCTTCTTTCTCTCATAATTTAATGAAACAACAAAGCTTCCGCGCTTTGCGCGGAGGGGGGAAACTGAATTCAAACAAGGATTAAGAATCGAGAATGGGACAACGAATCGTCTTCTTTCTCAAATAATTTAATGAAACGTTAGAAGCTTACGCGCTACGTGCGGGAGGAGGAAAACTGAATTCAGCCAAGGATTTAGAGTCAAGAATGGAACAACGAATCATCTTCTTTCTCTAATAATTCAATGAAACAACAAAGCTTCCGCGCTTCGCGCGGAGGGGGGAAACTGAATTCAGACAAGGATTAAGAGTCGAGAACGGTACTCTTTCTTTAATGATTAAATGAAACGTCAAAGCTTCCGCGCGGGGGTATAGAAACTGAATTCAGAAAATGATTAAGAATCGAGAACGGTACAACGAATCGTCTTCTTTCTCTAATAATTTAATGAAAACGTTAAGCTTCTGCGCTTTGCGCTGGAGGGGGGAATCTGAATTTAGAGAAGGATTGAGGGTCGAGAATGGAACAACAAATTATCTTCTTTCTCTAATAATTTCATTAAACTATGAATGGTCAATGCCTCAGCGCTTCGTGCGGGAGGGGGAAAACTGAATTCAGACAAGGAATAAGAGTCGAGAATGGTACAACAAATCGTCTTCTTTCTCTAATATCAATTAATGAAAGGTCAAAACTTCCACGCTTCGCGCGGGAGGGGGGTGGGGGGGGGAACTAAATTCAGACAAGGATTAGGAGTCGAGAATGGTACAACGAATCCTCTTCTTTCTCTAATAATTTCATGAAACATTAAAGCTTCTGTGCTTCGCGCGTAATGGGGGGGGGGGGGGGACAGCGAGCTGCCCGAATATGAATTTGTTATATCTTTTCTCGTATATTTTGGTGATAAATTACACTTTCACAAAATACATAATTATTATCCTCAAATTTTTGCTCGCTCGCTTCGCTCACTAGCCGAATTGTGAAATTAGAAAATAACTTTTTCGGGCAAGAGGCTTCAGCCCCCCCCCCCCCTCGATGTAAATGTCAAAAAAATTACCGGTATGGTGCTTCCAATATGACCTTGTCAGTATTGGTATGTTGAGTTGAAAAACGGTCTTCAAATTTCCGGCCCCCCCTATTGGAAAATCCTGGAACCGCGCCTGGTTATAGTGTATCAGAGATACAACAGCTCGGACTATTGTCAAGACTAGGAGCAGCATCACCAAAACATTGTGTGTAGATTAGAGTATAATGCATCTCTGTAGAAAATGTGAAAGAAATCTGTGGCAGTATAAGAGTGCATAAAAGACAGCCACCAAAATATGACATTTGACCCTATAACAGACAGAATACAGGTGGCAGCATCACCAAACACTAAAGATGTGTAGATTGACACACCTCACATTTGACAGAAATCTGTCAAGAAACTATGTGGCAGTTAGAGCGTATAAAAGACGCTTGACCTTTGACCATATACATGTAAGAGACGGAAAAATGAGGGCAGCATCGCCCAAAAGTGAAGATGCATAGATTGTACCAAGAACCATCTCCATACAAAATTTGAAAGAAATCTATCACGAAATATGACCTGCAGAGCACACACTATAGACACCCACCAAAATATGACCTTTGACCCTAACATAGACAAACACTGGTGACAGCATCACCAAAAGTTATATGTGCGTAGATTATACCAAGATACACCTTCATACAAAACTTGGAAGAAATCTGTCAAGGAATGTGGCAGTTAGAGCGCACACAAGAATATGACACGGCTGCGGACACGGCGGCGTATAACGCTGCTGAATCCAAAGTACCCCACCAGCATACTGCCGGGGGATACAATTATCACAAATACCAGTAAGTTTTTATGCAACCCCTACATGAAACAAATCTATTCCGTTATTAATAACTAAGAAAATGACAGTTTATAAAATGTCTTGTACTGAGAAAACCTGTATCAAAAGATACAGGTTCTTAAATCTCAGTGTGTCGTAAATATGTGTTCCACTGAGGACAACATAACAAATTAATAAATTTGGTATCTTTAGTCGGATATTGATCAAACTTTCACTAATTTGTTTCCCTTATTTTTCTGATTTAATTAAAACCCACTTAATATCAGGGCGGACTTTCCCTTTAAGTACATAATTATTTTGTGATCTTCCTACATGTGAGTTTCTTTTAGGGCATTCAAGTTATATGCATACGACTGATTGCATATTACTCCCCGCCCACTCTCTAGGTTTCCACGGTGAGTATTCAAACTTAAAGGCTTTTGTTAACACTGCTGCCGCCTTAGTGAAACAACCATTGATATCCTTCGGTCAAAAGAACCAGCATGTGACATTAACAAAAATTAAAGGAAATCAAAATGTAAAAGGGAAGAGATGGTAATAATGGGGTGAAATAAAATTAAACACTTGTACATGCATTACAATTGTGGATGAAATGCTCACCTTTGATTCTTTTCCTTTCGTTGCAAGTGTTGCAAAAAAACAATGATGGAATGCACGTAGAAGAGAAACTACCTTCAAGGATGGAATGGAGCATATCATCTCTGCCACATCAAGTGACATAGAAGGTCCACAATCTCTCTGACTCCAGAGTTCAACCTGGATAAAATGACAAAGTGATTACTGATGGGATGCAGAATATAGGCTTTTACTTGGATGTTAGACATACATGTGTAGTCTACATGAGCGGTTGCCCTAGATGTGCTACTAGAACTACAGAGAGTTTTAAGAGGGAAAGGGAAATAAATAAGGCTATTTTTGCGACTGTAGAAATATCTTATTTTAGTTTTAATGTACTAAATCGAGAACCCTAAGTAAAAGGAGAGTATAAGTCTAAGAACAGGATTCAAAGGAGATCATTAACTTTACACCATCTGGTGCCTCATACTATACGGTATTCATTTATAAATGTTACTAGGAACACAATCACTTAATTAAAATTGTGGATACAAAGCAAAAACATAGGCTCCCAAAGGAGAAAAGAAGTAAACTAGAAATGCAATCGTGTCACAACGATGTGCGTGCAATGACGCCGTGTTTCTACGAGTCGAACGAAAGAGCTTCTCTCGGACTATCCAGAGCAATTTGTACGAAGTCTTTAGCTTCTGTAATATTGGAGACAGGTAGGGCGAAAGAAAGGCCTCAATAGTGACCTTGATGGGATGGTAGTGACTATGCCTACGATGTTTGAAAGAAATTGGGATAGGGGAAAGAACCTAGAAAGGGCTCGCAAGCACTACGTGCAAAAACAAATGGGATTAGTTGCATGTTCGTCATTGCAATCAAGATCGTTCTAGGGGTCAAAAGCGTGAACCCGATTTGCCCCATAGACAATGCGTGTAATGCATGGACGGAAAACGTACAGGATCTGTATTATGACCGGAGTTAAATTGTTTTTTCTCTCTCTCTTTATGTCTCTTTATGGGCCGTATATGGTATCATTGGAAAGAGAATTTCATGGTCGTTATTGTAAACTACTCTTTTTTTTTATATGATAATCCTATCGAAACATGTGATGTAAAATAGATTTAAAGGACAAAATGGCGTCTTAAATGGCCACCTTGACCAATTTCAAAAATCCGGCCATGAGGTGCCCTGCGTATTGCATCTCGGAATGTCATTGCAAATTTTCAAGGAAAAAAAAGGATGTTTAGGGGGCGAAAAGTAGTCTGAAAAAATGACGTCATGGCCGATAAGTGTTATAATCGGGCGGAATTTGTATAGTGACCCTTGTTCAAATGCGATTTACTCACAATTTTCTGTGTAAACATATACCATACTTGGTATCATTCGAAAGGGCACTTCATTGCGGTCAGTTTGACACCATTGTCATCTGCACGCAATGTACTGCACGCATTAAAGGCGCTATTACGTAATGCATAGCAAATTCATCATTTTTGGCGATAACTTTGCAACGAGGGCATTACAATTTATTAAACTTGGCAGACAGTTGTCACGTATATGGATACATATGTGTGCCAAGTTTCATTGGTGTAGGTATAAAGATCGCCATTTTAGAGCAAGTTTAAGTTATTTTTGAATTTTCTTGAAAATGGCGAATTTGGAGGGCATTTTTCTCAAAGTCAGTCAGTGTAAGGGTATATAATTTTGTATATGGCTGGAAAGGGCATATCTTCAAGTATCTAAATCCAAAAAAGGGTACGGATTTGCCAAGCCATAATGGAGATACGGCCATAGAAAGAAAGCCAATTCCCAGAACTTTAGAGGGCGCTATTTACGTTTTGCAAAGCCATTAGAGCGTGAAATTTGGCATGGCTATGTGCAATTATGAGATGAAGATACTGTGAGATTTAAATACCAAACAGAATTTATATGAGAAAGTTATGGCAGTTTTAGATTATTTAGGGGTCATTTTTTCAAGAATTTGAGAGATTGTTGACGGAGACGGTTTCAGATTTGAATTTTGAGTATGAAGATGGCATTTTGAAGGGCAGGTTATACGTCGCAGATTAAAGAACATCTCTTAGACTATCTAGAGAAAATTGTTAGAAGTGTGTAGGATCTAGGATAGTGGAGATAGGAAGGAAGAAAGAAAGGCCTTAAAATGGACCAGGAACGGACAAAATGGCGCCTGGATGGTTATGCATGAGTGATTTCGAAAATCGAAAAAGTAGGTGACCTTGAAGAGATGTTAGAGACTATGCCTATGAAATTTGAATGGAAAAGGACATGAGGAAAGCACCTAACTAGGAATCACAAGCACCATGTGTAAAACGAATGCGATTTTCTGACGAGGAATATAAGGAGAATACTAGAAATGCAATCGTATCTCAACGATGTGCGTGCAATGACGCCATGTTTCTACGTGTCAAACGAAAGAGCTTTTCTTGGACTATCCAGAGCAATTTGTACGAAGTCTGTAGCTTCTGTGTTACTTGAGATAGGTGGGGCGAAAGAAAGGCCTCAACAGTGACCTTGATGGGATGGTATTGACTACACCTACGAAGTTTGAAAGAAATTGGGATAGGGGAAAGAACATAGAAAGGGCTCACAAGCACTGCGTGCAAAAACCAATGGGATTTAGTGCATGTTCGTCATTGCAACAAAGATCGTTCTGGGGGTCACTAAGCGTGAACCCGATTTGCCCCATAGACAATGCGTGTAATGCATGGGCGGAAAACGTACAGGATCTGTATTATGACGGGAGTTAAATTGTTTTTTCTCTCTCTCTTTATGTCTCTTTATGGGCCGTATTTGGTATCATTGGAAAGAGAATTTCATGGTTGTTATTGTGAACCACTCTTTTTTTTGTCTATGATGATCCTATCGAAACACGTGATGTAAAAGAGATTTATAGAACAAAATGGCGTCTTAAATGGCCCCCTTGACCAATTTCAAAAATCCGGCCACGAGGTGCCCTGCGTATTGCAACTCGGAATGTCACTGCAAATTTTCAAGGAAAGAAAAGGACGTTTAGGGGGCGAAAAGTAGTCTGAAAAAATGACATTATAGCCGATATGTGTTATAATTGGGTGGAAACTCGGGGGAATTCGTATAGGTACCCTTGTTCAAATGTGATTTACTCAAAATTGTCTGTGTGAACATATACCATACTTGGTATCATTCGAAAGGGCACTTCATTGCGGTCAGTTTGACACCATCGTCATCTGCGCGCAATGTACTGCACGTATTCAACGCGCTATTACGTAATGCATAGCAAATTCATCATTTTTGGCGATAACTTTGCGAAGAGGGCATTAAAATTTATTCAACTTGGCAGACAGTTGTCACGTATATGGATACATGTGTCTGCCAAGTTTCATTGATGTAGGTATAAAGATCGCTAATTTAGAGCAATTTGAAGTTATTTTTCAATTTTCTTGAAAATGGCGAATTTGGAGGGCATTTTTCGCAAAGTCGGTCAGTGTTAGGGTATATAATTTTGTATATGGCTGGAAAGGGCATATGTTCAGGTATCTAAATCCAAAAAAAGGGTACGGGTCTGCCAAGCCAAAATGGAGATAGGGCCACAGAAAGAAATCCCATTCCCAGAAGTTTAGAGGGCGCTATTTATGTTTTGCATAGACATTGGAGCGTGAAATTTAGCATGGCTATGTGCAATCATGAGATAAAAATACTGTGAGATTTAAATACAAAACGGAATTTATATGAGAAAGTTATGGCAGTTTTAGATTATTTAGGGGTCCATTTTTCAAGAATTTTAGAGATTTTTGACGGAGTCGGTTTCTGATGTGAATTTTGAGTACGAAGATGGCATTTTGAAGGTCAAGTGATACGTCGCAGATTAAAGAACATCTCTTAGACTATCTAGAGAGATTTGTAAGAAGTTTGTAGGATCCAGGATAGTGGAGATAGGCAGGAAGATAGAAAGGCCTTATAATGGACCGGAAACGGACATAATGGCGCCTGGACGTTTACGCATGAGTGATTTCAGAAAACGAAAAAGTAGGTGACCTAGATTGGATATCAGAGATTACGCCTACGAAGTTTGAAAGGAATCGAGCAAGAGTAAAGGATCTAGATAGGGTCCACAAGCACTACGTGCAAAACGAATGGGATTTCGGACGCTAGGAAGAAGTAAGAATACTAGAAATGCAATCGTGTCACAACGATGTGCGTGCAATGACGCCATGTTTCTACGTGTCAAACGAAAGAGCTTCTCTCGGACTATCCAGAGCAATTTGTACGAAGTCTGTAGCTTCTGTGATATTGGAGATAGGTAGGGCGAAAGAATTTAAAGGCCTCAACAGTGACCTTGATGGGATGGTAGTGACTATGCCTACGAAGTTTGAAAGAAATTGGGATAGGGGAAAGAACCTAGAAAGGGCTCGCAAGCACTGCGTGCAAAAACCAATGGGATTTGGTGCATGTTCGTCATTGCAATAAAGATCGTTCTTGGGGCCAAAAGCGTGAACCCGATATGCCCCATAGACAATGCGTGTAATGTATGGGCGGAAAACGTACAGGATCTGTATTATGACCGGAGTTAAATTGTTTTTTCTCTCTCTCTTTACGTCTCTTCATGGGCCGTATTTGGTATCATTAGAAAGAGAATTTCATGGTTGTTATTGTAAACCACTTACTTTTTTTCTATGATAATTCTATCGAAACACGTGATGTAAAATAGATTTATAGAACAAAATGGCGTCTTGAATGGCCCCCTTGACCAATTTCAAAAATCCGGCCAAGAGGTGCCCTGCGTATTGGAACTCGGCATGTCACTGCAAATTTTCAAGGAAAAAAAAGGACGTTTAAGGGGCAAAAAGTAGTCTGAAAAATTACGTCATAGCCGATACGTGTTAGATACGGGCGGAAACTCGGCTGAATTCGTGTAGTGACCTTTGTTCAAATGCGATTTATTCACAATTTTCTGTGTGAACATATACTATACTTGGTATCATTCGAAAGGGCACTTCATTGCGGTCAGTTTGACACCATTGTTATCTTCGCGCAATGTATTGCACGCATTAAACGCGCTATTACGTAATGCATAGTAAATTCATCATTTTTGGCGATAACTTTGCGCTAACATATTTGAATTTTACCAAACTTGGCGGACAGTTGTCACGTATATGGATACATATGTCTGCCAAGTTTCATTGATCTAGGTATAAAGATCGCTAATTTAGAGCAATTTGAAGTTATTTCTCAATTTTTTTGAAAATGGCGAATTTGGAGGGCATTTTTCGCAAAGTCGGTCAGTGTTAGGGTATATAATTTTGTATATGGCTGGAAAGGGCATATCTTCAAGTATCTAAATCCAAAAAAGGGTACGGGTTTGCCAAGCCATAATGGAGATACGGCCACAGAAAGAAAGCCAGTTCCCAGAACTTTAGAGGGCGCTATTTATGTTTTGCAAAGCTATTTGAGCGTGAAATTTGGCATGGCTATGCGCAATTATGAGATAAAGATACTGTGCGATTTAATTACAAAACAAAATTTATATGAGAAAGTTATGGCAGTTTTAGATTATTTAGGGGTCCATTTTTCAAGAATTTGAGAGATTGTTGACGGAGACGGTTTCAGATTTGAATTTTGAGTATGAAGATGGCATTTTGAAACTCAAGTTATACATCGCAGATTAAAGAACATCTCTTAGACTATCTAGAGGAATTTGTTAGAAGTTTGTGGGATCTGTGATAGTGGAGACAGGAAGGAAGAATGAAAGGCCTTAAAATGGACCAGAAACGGACAAAATGGCGCCTGGACGGTCATGCATGAGTGATTTCGAAAATCGAAAAAGTAGGTGACCTTGATGAGACGCTAGAGATGATGCCTACGAAATTTGAAAGGAAATGGATATGATGAAGGCACCTAACTAGGAATCACAAGCACTACGTGCAAAACGAATGCGATTTCCTGACGATAACGATAAGGAAAACACCAAGGAGGAGAATATTAATGGGGCAGAATGTGAACGAAAACAAGGCAATGACGAAGGTCGTCATTGCAAATATGGATACCCCTGCATGAGCACACAATGTACATGTATTCAGTCTTACCATGGGAGAGTAATGCAGAAGATACATGTAGGATGAATTGATCTACAGAATACAATAGTCATGTATGTTGAGAGTTCTAAATGCCCTAGCTGCAAATGCTATCAAATTCAAAGTGTGCTTCAATATGATTCATATCAATAACAACAATGTTACATACTTTGTAGGGCCAAGAATATCAAACAGATTCCTTTGTGCTCTGTTAAACATTTATAAACCAAGAATTTGGATATCTATTATTAAAGCAAAGTATATATTTTTCCGGATGGGATGAAAATGTGCTAACTATTGATGAAGTTTCCTTTTCCCAAATTTATCTCATCTAAAAGGTATAGATGCACCATATGCACATGCCAGTACATAGCTTCAATATAATTACATGTACATTGATGTCCTCGTCTGAATTCTGTTTCTTATTCCTCTTCCACCCAAATCACATTCGTTTTGCACACAGTGCTTGTTATTCCAAATTAGGTCCCTTTCTCTATCCCAAGTCCTTTCGGATTTTGTCTGTATATTCTTTACCATCCCATCGTGTGCACTAAAAACTGACTTCCAGGCCTCGTTTTGACCGTTTGTGGTCCGTTTTCCTGCCTTAGTTTCTTTCAGCTTACCTATCTCCACTATATAGATCCTAGATGCTACAGACTTCTAACAAATTACTCTAGATAGTGCAAGAGTTGCTCATCTCATCAAGAAATGCCATCTTAGCATACCGTACTCTAAATTAAGTCCAAAATCAACTCTTTCAAGAACCCTAAAATTCTTTAAATATTGACAAATGAAAAGGAAAAACAAACAAACTTTTTCATATCAATTTTTTTCTGTTTTAAATTTTACAGCATCTTTATCTTTGAATTGCACACTTTTCTGCTGAATTTCACACATCAATAGTCACGTATGCTATAAATAGCATCCTCTAAAGTTCTGAAATGGATGTCTATTTGTGGCCAAACAATGTTGCTCCATCATGCCTGGCTGAATTAAGCAGTACCCTTTTTCATTTAGATACTTTCGGGCTGGCATGAAAAGACAAAAGGTCAGGTGACTTTGTAACGGTAGAACTGATTTCCGCAAATTTTGTTTCAAAAGATGCCAAAGACTCTAAGGAAAAAATCATGAAGTGGCATCATAAATATTTAAGCATTACGAAGTAATCATGAAAATAGAGAGGGGGGGGGGGCTACATCAACCCACCCAGTCTTTTTAGGGTTAAATCTCCTTGATGAACCCTTCCATGGTTATACTGTTGTATGGTAAGAAAATTGCAAAAGACATACAAGTAAAAACTTGTACAAAAATGGATGCACTAACTTTGTTTATTAAACTATGATCAAACTAACCAGATATGGACCAATGAATGCATACCCAGCTACAGTGTGTGCTGTCATGGATGGGTCCACGACCAGCACAGCCTCCTTTGACGACATACTGTCCTTCACCAAGGCTGCTACATCTGGGTCCAGACTCTCAAAGGCTACATCAACAATGAAATCTCTGTTCAGGTATGATACCCCCTGTAGCATAGAATGCATTACATGGGTTGCAATACTTTTGTTCTGTGCCACAGTGAAGTACAGGAGATACCTAAACTCCTCTCCCCTTGGCAGCACCACTTGCTCAATCAGCCTGTTGCATTCATTACGATCTTCAATACGATCTGATTCATATAGGGAAGCCAGATGGACTCCAGCCATGTACTCCTGAAACAGTTTGTGAGGGAAGAAGACTGGCAATTGCACATGAGCATGCCTCTCATGTGTATCCATAACGGCGGTAATTCTGTCCTCCTGAGACAAAATCCCGACCCGACAGGCAGTGTCCTTGGATTCTGGGCATATTTTGAAATCATCTTCACTGAAAACCAATGTATTTTCTAGCAGACCAGTGAGAGCCTGTTTGGCAATCGGTCCAAGGAGCTCATCAATTTTTTCCAAATAGGAAATAAGTGAGGGGCTGCCTACATTCTTCACCTTTTTCTGAGCATAATGTTCTTTTAGAAAGACAATCATTGTTTTGAATATTTGAGAAAAAGTTTTCAGTGATTTCATTTTCTTTAATTTTTGCTCGTCAAGCTCTTTCCACATAAGACACAACATAGCTACATATATAGGATAGCGGGCCATGTCTTCGGATATGACATCATTCTCACTGATGAACTGGATAAGCTGATTTGCTTTTCCTTTATTCTTTGGAAAGTATTTGTGAATGTATACTGACAAATTCTTTCTGTTGAAACCCTCAACATGAATGAATGTGTAGAGCTTCGTTAGATCACCATCTGATCTAATTTGTACTGCTCTCCATGGGCGAGTGGTCACCAAGACTGAGCAAGAGGCGAGTTGATCTGAACAAAGAATATCTGCAAGTCCAATATCACCAGTCTCAGATGAGCTTCCACATGCCTCTGAGGAGGTGACGCATCGCTGTGATGGCTGAAGTAGCATTTGATCAGTAGGCTGTGATTCGCAAGATTCTGTCTTCATGATTTTGACACTGACTTCGTCTAGCCCATCGAATGCGATGAATACCTTGTCAGGATTTGACCGGATATACTCAGTAATCTGAGAAACCGTCGCTGGATTGTCTTTGGCCAGATAAGACTTTGCAATCTGGCCAATAGTGTGTTGCTTAAATTCACGTAAAGGAACAATCAAGACCCACACAAAGTCACTGGAATGCCTCCCTTCAATCCAGTCCCACGCAATCTTAGCACAGAGTGTAGTTTTTCCAGCCCCTGCCTCTCCCTGGACCATGATCCGCTTGGGGAACTCTCCATTGACTTTGAGATTAAGGATATCATCTAGCAATCGCTTCTCTGTCCCATGTTTTTCTAGTAAGACAAGGTTAGTATGCAAGTCTTCAAACTGCACACTGGAAGTAGGACTGAGAGGATCAGCTCTGATCTTACAGACAGTTGACCTGTACTTGAATTTGAAATCCTTTGCACACCGCTCAACCAGTTCAGGAGAAAGTGGTTTGGTCTGAGATTCAGCTGAAGGAGGTTTGGTCTGTGATTCGAGCAGTCTTGGTGGCCCTCCTAAAAATACATGGATAATCCATATTCACAAGATTACACATAAACATATCTTGATACATCTGAAAGGATTGTTAAGGCCTGAGACTGATAGTGTGACGTATGACTAGATGCATGTACTTAAAGACAAAAGTCCTACAAGATTGTCTGAATTTATATGACTTCATTCAATTTTAAGGGCATTTAAAATCTGAGTAATTTGTGTATACATGTACATGTAATTGTAGATAGATATCACTGGAATAATTTTTCCTAGTACATTTCAGCAATGCAGAGTTTCGCTGACAATCACACATTTTATTATGAAAAACAAGACAAATATATACAGTAGGCTTAATATGGTTGCACCAAGTGAGAGAGAGGGGGAGGATTAGGGAGTCCTAAAAAAGACTGTTGGTAATCTTTCTTGAGCTTATAGTTCTAAGGAGGAGTATAGCACCGATTGGAGAGGATGGTAGTGGCTCGACGTTTCAAACAGGTTGAATATCCATCGTCTCCCCCTCTCTCTCGCATGATGCAACCGCAAGCCTACTGTATACAGTGTATCTGCATCTATTACAAATATATGACTGCATCTCCACTATGCCTCTGCCTAAATTCATTTCAGATCAGGGCTATTGAATCAATTTGTTAATATCACAATAAGAATACACATGAACACTGACATTAAAAACTGACTTCACTTTTATGAATGGTTTTCCATTATGATTGATCTTAGTTTGAGGAACTCCATTTCACTAAACAGTACTGTAAAATGAATAATAAATCAATTGGGTTTGATAGGATATTAGTTTATACAGAGCATCCGATTGGCTGAGAAGCTATCATGTGACACTCAACAATTGTATTATGTGCTCGGGCATGCTACAGTGTATAACAACCTGGGAATATAAGAATTTATATCCTGCATCAACAATTTGTTGGCTTTTGATTGGTTGAGAGCTTGTCACATGACTAGAAATATTTGACCTATTTTTAGAAAGTACTATATGAGAGTACTATTTGGGTTTACTATTTGGGAGTTGGAAAAAAAATGTGAATTTTTTTTTTGAATTGAATCAATTTTTTTTCCTTCAAATCTTAATTTAATGAAAACAAAATATTTCAAATCTTTTTAGATACAAATTGACATTTTTTTGGTTCTAAATTTTTTTCCCCCAAAATTTAAATTTTTTTTTTTTTTTAAATAAATTTTTGATGCATGATATAAAACAAATATGACATGCCTTCTATTCGAGGTACTGGTTAAACTATCGGTGACTCCAAAAGTACCATTTGCTTTGGGGCTGCGCCCCTCAGCAAATAGTCCTATTGGAGTCACCTCTTGCGCATAGTTTTAACCAGAACCTCTCAAGGCAGTGTATATTTGTATAATATTGCCTGTGATATGAACATTTGAAACATATTGCCCCACGATGAGCCATAGACTTACGCTCAATATTAACCTTATGATCAATCAAAAGGCTTTATAAAATATGGCGCTGGTGTAGCAAATATTAGTGACATGTATCTGTTTACCTGTGCTGTTTGGAGTTGGAGGTCCATTGAGTAATCTGTCTGATAGGCCACCCAAGTCAACCTCTCGTAGTTTGTCTGCCAAAAGCTGTCGTTTGTCTGAGTGTGGAGGTTGCTGCTTGACATTCCATTTCATAAACACATCCAGTAACGCATTGGTGTAGTTCTTCACATTCTCAGCCAGGATTGCCTGTAGTTGAGCATAGGAGAACCCTAGAGATATCCCAACAGCGTTGTAGTAAGATGGTGCGATGTCCTGGGCCAGCTTCAGGAACTCCATTTCACTAACAGTACTGTAACATGAATAATAAATCAATTGGGTATGATAGGATATTAGGCAGAGTGCATCCTATTGGTTTGTATTATGTGCGTGAGCATGCTATATAACAACCTGGGGCTATCAGAATATATATTGCCTGTGAAATTAACGTTTGAAATATATTGCCCCAAATATTGAAATTGCATGCGAGGGCCAGCGGTATTGTTCTGGCAAAAGTAATCACTCCCCCAAAAGCAAAGTCTGGCAGTAAATACAATAATGATGATGATAGTAATAATAATACCAATAAGAACGAGATAAGAATTTGTCAATGAAGACTAATGAGGTGGTTTTGACGTTTTTTTAAGGATCTCATATGGAGAGATGAAGAGAGAGAGAGAGATGTATGGCAGTAGATAGATATTAAGGAGAGAGGGAGACGGGGTATAGTCGTGTAAAAAAAAAATGAGCTGGACAGAGGGATACAAGAAGAATCAGAATGCATGTACTTGGAAGGAGAGAGGATAGTATAAGGAAATATGGTAGGGGTGAAATAAGAATACAAAGGGCAAAGGAAAGAGCTAGAGAAAATTAAGGAATATCCGCAGACATAAAAGAGGGAGAATATGAGCCAGAGGCGGGAAAGTGAGAGGGTAAGAGGGTAGAGAAAGAGAGCATAGGCAGAGACAGAGCTCTGGAGACAATAGAAAAAAAGGAAGGCAATAGAGAAAGAGAGGGAGAGGAAGACAGATCGAGAGAAGGAGAGGGTGGAAGAGTAGAGAGAGAGATGTACTAGAATATAAATAGAGAGACAGAGCAACTGCCCCCCTCAGAGGGCAGACCAAGAGAGGGGAAGAGAAACAGAGCAAGAGAGAGCTAGGAGAGAGAGAGAGAGAGAGAGAGCTAAGAGAGAGAGAAAGAGATGCAATGGAAAATGGTGCATTCAAATTTCCTGCATAAATAGAGAAAGAGAGAAGTTATAGACATGTAAACAATTCTTTGTCTGTGGGAGAAACATAAACATTGCATTATTTGCATGTACCTGAATATTGGGCTGAATAACTGTAAAAATATAAACGTCTGGGAAGGAGACTAGCATCATAGAAATGGAAGAAGAAGAACGATTTCATATTGTAGCAGACTTTGGACATTAACCCTACAGATATAATACACGACAAGGAATCAGATTTCCCATAGGGTTGTACCAGACTATTGACATTCCTCTCCTATATACATGTAGATATAACACGCAAAATAAGGCATTACATTACATTGTTTGTGATTAGATATGATATATGTTATGATTGTCAAAGAAGGTGATAAAATCAAATCAAATCAAATCAAATGACAAAAAAAAAAAATTGACCCAGCCGGAATCGAACCTGGGTCGCCGGAATGGGAGTTGAGTGCTTTAACCAATGGACCAAAATATGTCCCATAGACATTACCGTACATGCAAAGCTAACAAACGGCCTTGGCATAGTCGCAATTTCAACTTTCAATTGGAAACTTTGACATGATCCCAACATCTGATCAAAAAATAAAAGACAAACTTACAGTAGTTCATAATATCAGCTATAACATACTCAAATTTGGAAGAAAATAGAGCAAAAATATGTGAGATACCGCTGAAAGACCAATGTCATGTAGATTTATGATGTAAAGGGGGTATTGAGCTTTTTTTTTTAAGGCCCAGCTCAGCGGGGGGGAGGGATAGTGCAATTTTTTTTTTTACTCAACATCCATCCCCCCTCCCCCCTCCTTGAGCGCCAGGGGAAGGGGCCTGTCTTCTTCTTTTTTACAAAAAAGGTTGTTTTATCATATAAAGATCATATTTCATCGAATTATTTATATCTAATGCCTGCTTAGTAATTTTTTTTTGCCAGGGGAGGGGGCCTGCCCCCCCCCCGGATCCGCCACTGCTTTTTGAAAACCCTGTGGCAAAGCTACTAAAGTTCGCATCCTGAACGTGTATCTTCACACAATCTTTTGTTCCACAAAATGTTGTGTAAGCCTGTAAGGCAACCACCCGACTGGACGCGATGACCTGATGATTCGAAATAAGCCAGTATAGTTATGCATACCTTTCCTTAGTGTTGGGACCTGGATTGGTTTCAACGTCACCAGATCTCATCAAGCAGATCAGGAGTAGATAGAGAAGGCAGAATCCATCCATGGTGTAAGATGTCCTTCTCACTTGACAGAAATGTAGTTCTCTAGAAAATGGTGATGACATGGGCAACAATACCTGAAAACAATAATCAGAAATATCTACATTAAGTTCATAAAACAGATGGAATGAGGGTTTCAATTCACTACAGTGTGTGAGTCAAAAAAAAGTTTACACCTAGAAAATTGCTAATTATTTAAAAAAAATCATTGATGAACATTAAATTGTTATACGTCTTATGAAAGAGTGTTTTATCCCAAATCATTTGGTACCATTTTTGTGTGCTATGTGTTCACGCTTGGATGAACAGGAGACATTGTTTGCGAAAGTGCAAACATCGACTTGCGCCAAAGTTGCATATGTGATGTGTGAATAAAACAATTGGGATTTGGGTATTAATTCAGTCTTTGCAGATCCAAATAACATCCCTAACAAAATTTATCATGCCACACATATCAAATATCAAATATCAACGAATATGTGTGCGCGCGTGTGTGGTGTGTGTGTGACTTTGCCCTTTGCAAAAAACATATTGGTCATTCCATGTCAAATCACCCAATGGTTTTAACCCGACCATTTTTGATTTTGATGAAACTTAGTGTACTTGTTGAGTGTGATCTCACAGCACCAAATCCAAAATTTTAGGTCAATCGGGTGAGGGGTTTGGGAGATACGGCCCACCAAATTTTGAGATTTTTTCAAAAATGGGGGTGGCGGGCCTACCTTTGAACCCTTGTATCTCGGGACCTAATGGGTCAATCTTCACAAAATCTGTATTGTTTTAAAGGGTATTCATTACGGATTCCAATTCTGCCGCCATTTTGAAGATTCGTACATGTTGGGTTACTTTGACCTCTTGACCTCAGATTTGACCTTGAAATTGACCTTGTGGATCACGTAACTTTGACAACATTTTTCATGAAATGTAATCTCTGACATGTTCACTAAAACATGTAAAAGTTTCAGAGATATAATATTTTTTGTTTAGGAGCAATAAGGATTGAAAGTATCCATGCTCACAGATATTCACAATAAACCCTATTATAATGTATACAATACATGCAATGTGCACAGTACAACATACATCTTCCACATGCTTTTTTGTTTTAGGCATATCCATCCTAAATGTCAGTAGTACTTGAATAGAAATAAAATGACAAGTTCATATAGGCCTAAAGGTTTTACAGGATGTATGGCTTTAGGCCTCTGAGTCGGTTCTAGGATAATTACCCCCCTGGAAAATTAACCCTAAGGAAATTCCCCCCCCCCCGAGGACAATTACCCCCCCAAGGACTATCACACCCAGAGGATTATTACCCCCCAGAAAATTACCTCCTAGGGAAATCTGTCCCCCCCCCCCCCCCCGAGGACAATCAACACCCGGACAATTTCCCCCTAGGACAATTACCCCCCCCCCCCCCCCCCCCCCGGGAAAGTCACCCCTCAAGAATAATATACCCATAAAAAATAAATCTGCTTTGATTAAAACCACCTTAATATCAGGTTGGACTTCCACTTTAACGAATAGGGGGGGGGGGGGGGGGGGGGGGTAATTGACCTCTGGGGTAATTGTCCTTAGAGGGTAGTTTTCCGGGGGTGAATTTTCCAGGGGGTAATTATCCTAGAACCGACTCAGAGGTCTAAAGCCATACATCCTGTTAACCCTTTAGGCCTATATGAACTTGTCATTTTATTTCTATTCAAGTACTGCTGACATTTAGGATGGATGTGACTAAAACAAAAAAACATGTGGAAGATGTATGTTGTACTGTGCATATTGCATGTATTGTATACAGTATAATAGGGTTTATTGGGAATATCTGTGAGCATGGATACTTTCAATCCTTATTACTCCAAAACAAAAAATATTATATCTCTGAAACTTTAATATGTTTTAGTGAACATGTCAGAGATTACATTTCATGAAAAATGTTGTCAAAGTTACGTGATCCACAAGGTCAATTTCAAGGTCAAATCTGAGGTCAAGAGGTCAAAGTACCCCAACATTTACGAATCTTCAAAATGGCGGCAGAATTGGAATCCGTAATGAATACCCTTTAAAACAATACAGATTTTGTGAAGATTGACCCATTAGGTCCCGAGATACAAGGGTTCAAAGGTAGGCCCGCCACCCCCATTTTTGAAAAAATCTCAAAATTTGGTGGGCCGTATCTCCCAAACCCCTCACCCGATTGACCTAAAATTTTGGATTTGGTGCTGTGAGATCACACTCAACAAGTACACTAAGTTTCATCAAAATCAAAAATGGTCGGGTTAAGATTTTCAGATTTTTCGGGTGATTTGACATGGAATGACCCATATGCAATGCATTTCATTTGATACGTTCAATCCATTCTCTCACTCCGCTAATCCCAACATAATACATACTGTAGTCATCACTTTGGCGCAAGTCGATTTTTGCACTCTCGCAAACAATGCCACCTGTTCATCCAAACGTGAACACATACAACACAAAAATGGTACCAAATGATTTGGGATAAAACACTCTTTCACAAGATGTATAATAATTTACTGTTCATAGATAATTTTTAAAATAATTAGCAATTTTCTAGGTGTAAACTTTTTTTTGACTCACTCGGTATGTCCATTTCATAATAGTGTAACATTTTGGGGGCTTTCTAAAACCCATCCTTGGGGGGAATGGCTGGGACCTGCCTTCAGTATATTTGTGGTCATATATATCAATGAATGCTGTATTTGGGCAGATAACAATGATTTTTAAATTTTTGTTTGTAGTTGTCAATCAGGGTGCATGAGTTTCTTTCACAGCGCGAAGTGAAAGTCATCATGTCATCAGGAGCTGTACAGTATTTTGTTTTAAAGCCCCACTGCACTACATATGTACTTACGCCCTATATATAGCAAACAATGTGCCTGTTGGTCCCCCGTAATCCTCTTTTTCTTATGTTTATTGAGAGCTGATTTGATGAGATACCAGTAACCACCTGTAGGTAGTATACATTTCTAATAAGGTCAACGAGCAGATCATAATTAATTATTTTCCAAGAAGCAGACAGGAGATGAGTTTCTTTGAGCCATAACTTAATAAAGCAATATCCAATTTAAATCATCTTTCACCACTGGATTTCTCTTATCAAGAGCTTTACATTGACTTCATTTGAAGAAAAAAAGAATTGATGTTATGGGCAATTCCATGATTACTCAGGTTACATTTGGAGGGACATTGACTTACTCATTGAGCTCTCATTCTCTTATAATTGGTATGACCTACATGTAAGCAAGTTTTCAATAAATGAAAGTATACATCTTAAAGGTACTATGTCTCTTTTGCAGCCAACATCAAATTCTGTAGAAATTTGCAGGAATTATTAATATGTCATGAATTTCATATCTGTGAAATTTAAACATTACCAGTGTCCTACATGTAGTATTCAAATTATGCAAGGAAACCTGTTCACCTTCTAGACTTCACTGTCAGACACTATTAAGTGACTGACTGACATCTTTTTTTTTGGTGGTAATAACATATACATGTACATAAATGAGCTGTAACAGGTACATTAGCATTTGTCTACTGGGACTAGTCAGCAGAATCTCCGCAAAACCTCACAAAAGATCCGCCAACAAGCCTACTTCTCTCTTGTTAGACCTCATCTGGAATACTGTTGCTCGGTCTGGAACCCTCACACAAACAAGCATATATCCAAAATCGAGGCAGTACAAAGGCGAGCAGCAAGATTCACCCTCCAGAGATATCGTCGTATGGCCAGTGTCTCGGCCATGATTCAATATCTGAAATGGGAGAGCCTGGAGAGGAGAAGAAATGCAGCAAGCGTCCACCTCATGTACAAGATCCAAAACGACACATTAGCCATCAATGCACACCATTACACAGCACCCATGATTGCCAGCAACACACGACAGTATCACTCAAAGAGGTTGCTGGCTATCCCATCCCGCACCCAGCTCTACCAGAACTCATTTTTCCCTCGGACAGTAACTGCGTGGAATGCACTTTCAAAGATCACCCTTGACGCTAGTTCACTGGAGGGCTTCAAGGGAGCGCTTCCACCCAGCATCTAGACCAAGAACTAGATAGTTTATTCCTCAGCACTATACATCCTGACTTATGGATCCTGCTGAGTATCGTCGTAGAAGTAGAAGTACATATCAATAACCCACTGACACTACTTGCAATTGCCAACATTAGTCATGTTTGATTCCGTATTGTGATCGCTGCAAGTGCATGTTGGATTTATCGATCGATGATAATGCAGTGTCAGATCTTTACTCATGAGGAAATAGTAATTGGAATACATCGCAAAACTAAGGTAGGCCTATTTATTTATTTCAATTACTTTCTTAATTTACAATGAGTGGCTTTCGAGCTTTCTCTCTAGATCTATTATGTTTTGACCCTCCATGCCATGGCTAGCGTGGCTCGATCGCGGCTTGCATGCAATTACCCTACCTGGCCTGCAGTACTGTGTCGGTGTGTGCGACTAATTCAAGGCTAGCCGGTGATGATGAATGTACTTTCGCGCGAAGTTTTGAACTTGTTGTCCGGGCAATGACCATGGTGACACGCCCATTCCCTCGGGCCTGTCTAATTCTCAACATAATTGAAATTGATTGTTTCAAGGCTCTTACGTACGGCCAGGCGTAGAAGGAAGCTCATAGGAACTAGCTGGATATCTCCTATTTTATGGAACTTCTGGAGTCGGTAGATGGGTGAGTTTTCTTAGTGAAAGAAAATGCTTTCTTTTAATGTTTGTTTTATTATAAACAAATTAGATCTAGATCTAGTAATTAAAAAGTTAGGTTTGGGCATTGGCCTCCCTAATATAATGATACACGCCAATGAAAATTGAAGTAAAACAACAACAAACAAAACAAAAGAAAGAACAAAACTAATTCAAAATATTTTAAAAAAAAAAAAAAAAGAAGAAAAAAAAAAAAGCACACAAATCTAAAGTTAGGGAGGCCAATGCCCGGGCGTAAGGCTTCTACGCCTACGATTTGTGCGCTCGTCGTCCAAGTCAGAAAATTACCAGAAGAAAAAAAAAGAGAAAAAAAAAGAAAACAAATATCTATGGAATAAAACATATAACAAATACACAATTGTACACTCCACAACATACCTATAATCACGGATCTGTAATGGTCTTTCACCATTTGTTGACGATCTTGCAGATTTTGACCTATTTAGAACTAATAATTCTGTTAGCAGACGAACTTAGCGCGCACATATGAGAAACTAGAAGGGTCCTAGAGGGCGATGAGGTTAGCTCACTAAAATCCTTCTCAATGACTGAAGGTAGAGCCTAAAAATATGGAATCAATTTAACATCAAAGAACTTTTGATAGAGATTAACATATCAGGGCCCCGTCTTACTAAGAGTTGATATCAATCGTAACTTATTTGCGATTGATATCAATCGTAACTATGTACATAAGAGATGGGAGACTGCAAACTTGCGATTGATTGGAGGACTTACGATTGATTTGGATAGATCGTAACTCTTTGTAAGACGGGGCCCAGATGTGCACAAATGTCACTTTTAACAACTAGAAAATATAACGAAAAAGTATTATATCTTTTTAATTGCAGATTTTTACAAATTGCACATACGAAGGTAGATAGAGTACAATGTTTTTGTCAATCTTGCGTTGGTTTGAGCCCCATAGCTAGAGCCATCTCAAATTGGGGAGGAAAACTGTGAACAAAGACATGATTGTTCGAGCCCCAAATAGAGATCTTACGACATCATAATATGAATAATGTATGAGCTCCGGTCGGAACGCCCACCGAACAAATTTTGCTAGTCTCACACACAGTACCTTATTCTCACAGCACGAGACTCGAGTGTCGAGCTCGTACAGTAAGTCATATATGAAAAATGTTTAAAAAAGATATTTCAGTAAAAAAATGTCTACGTGAGCAGTCTATACTCCAATTGAGAAGTTAGGACGGAAAGATATGATTGGATGATGTGATTATGATACATGGTTAGTTGTCGCGTACAGCTTAGAGAGAGAGAGAGAGAAAGAGAAAGAGAGACCCAGCTGTACTACACATGGTACGTGCGATATACATGTATTGTAGTGATATCATCATGTGTAGCGCTCCGAGTGTGAGCTACACAGCTGCATGGATAATTATGGAGGTCGTTCTAATTCTTGTTGATTGTACAGTAGATCTCCGACTGAAATCATAAGGAATACTCATGAGGAAATCAAGTTATTGGAATACCATTCTAAGGTAAATATAAATGAATTAGATCTAGTTCTTTCCTTCTTTTTTTACTCGTAGATGTAGATCTAGTAGTCGTACGTACATTGCATTGATGGTTCGAATTCTTCTATTTCAACTTCAGCCTGTATTGCGGCTTGCCTGATTGAAGTGGTTCGGTGTGTGCATGGAGTTAACTCCATGGTGTGTGCGACCGATTCAAGGCTAGCCGAAAGATGAATGTACTTTCGCGCGAAGTTTTGAACTTGTTGTTCGGTCAATGACACGCCTATTCCCTCGGGCCTGTCTAATTCTCGACGTAATTTTTGGGACCATGAATTTGATCGTTTCAAGGCTCTTGCGTACGGCCAAGCGTAGAAGGAAGGGAGTGCTTAAAAGCTGGATATCTCCTATTTTATGGAACTTCTGGAGTCGGCAGATGGGCGAGTTTTCTTAGTGAAAGTAAATGCTTTCTTTTAATCTTTGTTTTATTTTAAACAAATTCGTAATTAAAAAGTTAGATTTGGGCATTGGCCTCCCTACTAAAGTAAAGTCTAGAGATCTAACTTAACTTAAGTCAAGACCTTCATAATTGCAACTTTACTGCATGTAACGTATCGATGCACATGATTGACAACTCAAATCTCACCTCTCGATACTCAAATTGCATTGTCTCAAGTCAATACAAGTGAAGGCTTAAGACTGTAAACTTCAAGCGTCAGCTCGGGCACAAAATTCAAGTTCAGACTCTCCAGCATCCGCACACAGTCAATCCATACTAGAGCTAGAGGTCAGTGACAGAGGAACGTACGTACGTACGTACAGGTACGTACGAAGCGGCGGCGAATGGAATAGCGGGTAGCTGACGATGTTCTTCCCCCGAGAGTCGGGGCCGGGTCTCATGTAGCATACGCATGCCAGGCTTGGTACGCTACCTAACACAACACAAGCTAGTTATTTGATATTGAGTCCAAGTCTTGTTTTCTGCAGTGCTGCTAACTTTTGAAAATCATCGGTTTTCATTCATTTTGACAGGAACCTTGAGCTGTAGATAGCCTGGATTCAACAACGGGTAACAAAAACTGCTAATCCCGAGAAGAAAAACGCGTTGATCTTTCAAACTTGTAAAAGGTCAATACGGGCGCGCGCTCGTAACTCATGCATGATCCGCAGAAGGGAATCCCCCCCAACCAGCAACCCACTGACTTGTAGAGGTCATTGCAGCAACCGAGCTCCTCCGTTTCGAGCGGAAGGGGTTTGTTGTTGTTGTTGTTTCTTTGTTTTGAGGAGGAGGAGGGGCGGGGGGAGAGAAACAAAATTACTTGTCATTCGCCAAAAATTGTCCCTCTTTTTGTTGTTTTCTTTTAAACTATAAACCAGACGTTGTGTGTCCGAACTAGTTGTTTATCCTGACAGTCGTTAGAAGTTTACCAGGGATATGAGATAAATGAGTTTACATATACATTTTCATAATCTTCTATTACTTTTATATAAGACGTTATTCTAAAGGATAAATATTTAAGATGCTATTTGATGCATACATTTCGTGGAATTTATGGCCTTCTGGTTGTTTATTAGAATTCCCCACTACGCCCTTTGTTGTATGATAACATCCACAAATTAGGGGTTAAAAAAAAAAGTTGTATTACCCTAATTTGCGACCGACACCAAACATCATTAATTTTTAAGTTTATTTTTACCGTTTTATAGAGAAAAAAAATTAATGAATGAAAAAATATTAAAGCATTCAAAACTGAGAAACATCAGCCCAAAGAGGGAGAAAAAATGTTTACAAAAATTAATTTCCGACCCATGATTTGGCAGCTATAAAGGGTAAAAAACATTTTTTTTTAATTTGTAGGCCTCATACACACAAATATTTTGATGGGTGTTTTGTTGTATAAAGAGAGTAAAATAATTTAAATATGGATCCGCAAAAGGAAACCCAAGTTCATGAGTAAATTACCTGATATTTTCTTCTGGAGTGGTGGTGGTGGTGGGGGGGGGGGGGGGGGGGGGGGGGGAGGGGGGTGGGGTTAAAAACCACTTGATCAAATCAATTAAGTCATGTGTTATTATACCGAATGAATGACAGTCTGAAGCTAGTAACAATGTCTGGTATGGAATAGTTTTGGAAATACATACTTACACATTCTAGGGGATATGTCGTACCTCTAATCTTAAGTACGCTACAAAAAATATTCATCAGATATGAAGACTAAGTAAACCGTATTTATTTTCATCATTATCATAACACGCGCACCTATAGGTAATGGCTGGTCTAGATAGGTTAAAAAACAGTTGCGGCCAGCACAAAAAAGTGGAAGCCCGGTCCCCCCCCCCCCACACACTCAGTGTTATTGAGGTATTATGCTTGTTCCCTCCGAATTTGGAAGCAACCCCCTATCTCAGGACTGCCAACATTTCTGACCCCCCCCCCCACCCTACATCTGGAAAACTGGTCAATGTACCCCCCCCCCCCCTATGTATGGTATTCCAGATATTTTATAATCCTCTTTTTAAATTTCCCAGGAGTCCAAAGAGAGAGAGAGAGAGAAACAACCTCCTTTTTAATATTTTATAACACTCTTTTAAATTTTTTGATGAATCCAAAGAGAGAGAGAGAGAAGAAAAAAAACCTCCTTAAAAACAAATCTCGGGCAGGACTTTGTCACGCGCAAAGTACCCCCAGCACTAATTCCCCCCCCCCCCCCTCAATTCGTGAGAAAATATTTGGCGGCGAAAAAGCCGCTCGGCGATTAAGCCGGGAGGGGGGTGGGGAGGGGTTGTGAGCACTATTTCACTTTGCTCAACACACACACACCCCACCCCCCTGAAAAAGATTTTAAAGGTGTTTTTTTTATTATTTGGGGGGCTAATCAATTCAGAATTATCATAGATGCATATTCTCAATGCCTAAACGCTTTAATTATGCATGTGTTAAGAGCTTGAGCACAATTTTTTTTTGGTCCTCGAAAATTTTAAAATTTGCACCCCCCCCCCCCCCTTGAGCGCCAAGGGGTGGGCTCAACCCCAAAAGAAGGTAAAAATCGCGTGATTTTGCATGATTTTTTTCTCAAGGGATCCCCCCCCCCCTGGATCCGCCACTGGTGGACTTACTGTTATTCATTTTCAATTATATAATCCTCCCGCGCATGGGACAGAGTGTGACTATAATACTCTTTCTTCTTCTTCTTCTCTCTCTCTTCTTATATACCTTCCCTTTTCTTTTATTCTTATATGTTCTAAACTGAAGTAGGTATTTTGTTTTTAAAATTATTCTTTGATATATGATGTCATCTTCATTACGGTAAGTAATCATATTTGCATAGACTACCAATACATATGTATATATTTGTAAACATGTATGTATATGAACCGGGAAAAAAAAATCAGAATTTCCTGAATGATGTTATAATTCACTGAGTCCATAGGCTGAGGTTGGAATATAATGGCACTAGGGGGATTCTGATTTTGGAGACTGAATAATGATATGTATGCAATATTATATAAAATTGTTTGTATTTGCGAACCTTTGGAGTCATGCCCTCTTGATTAGTTGCAGGTTGCCTTAGCGCCAGATGCGTGCAGTTGAGACAATGCAAACAATGGGTACGTAGAGAACTAGAATGACAATGATAATTTATTCTCATGTCACCCACATTGGGGTATTAAAGAAGTTTACAATCAGTTTGAATTTGTCAATTGAACACTATACAGTATACAATTTCAATTGAATTAATTGTAATCAATGAAAATATCACTATAACGACGATAGTGATAACAATTAAAATTGTGATAATAATATTAACAATAACAATGAAAACAATAATACAGAAAATTACTTATAATAATTATCATAATAATAATTAATGACAAGATTATTGGAAGCAATTTAAAAAAAAATGACTGGCACCAGTAAATTGTTATTTGAATATTGATTAAACAATTTGATATAAGAGAAAGAAAGAGAAGCATGAAAATAATATTGAATTCATAACATTTAATGTACACATACTTAAATTAGTAATGGAATCAAAGCTTTATTTTGATAAAGAATTTACTGAAGTTTACCGGTAAACGTGTTTGTCCATTATTAGAGTTTAAAAAAGCTGATCCACTTTCAGTGTATTCTGTCTTTCAATAAAATGTTTATTGAGAAACAATGTAGAGTGTCGTGTGACAGCATTTCAGCTATAGAATACAAATACAACATCATCAAACAACAACTAACACATTCTTGTGTCTCCCTTGTACGTCAAAATGTTGAAATATAAAAGGCACAGCAAACTTTATTTCAGTAATTCATGATCATCTAATATACAGAAAAAGACCTGTTAAGTGCATCCTTTTGCATAACATAATTCAGAATAAACTCACAGATCTGAGCAACTTGCAGTGTCTATTATGAAAATCAGAGCGGATTATAAAAATGACATCACTTAATCAGAAGAGGATGGTGATCAAAAGGCAAGGTAATGGAATGCTCATAAGAGAAGTGTCTATGTTTGTATCTTATAAGCCAATCAGGAATGCAAACTTACTAAAATATTACTCTTATTTACACTGTATGTATGGCAAACAAATTCAAAATATACATGTTATGATGTATGATACCATTGCATAATCATGAGGTGAAGAAAAGCCTGGAATATGTATCATACAAATTATTGAAATACAGTACTGAATACAATTAGAATAAACATGTATCGTACAATTATAGCAGCATATTTATATGTACACTGGAGTGATGTAAGAAATGGATGGATTTATTATGTAGTACTGGTCACTGGTGATTGTAGTTAAACATGTACAAACAATAATCGTTTTCAAATTAAATATTACACTGATAACTCAGGCATGTTACATTGACAAAAGAGACATGTATCTTAACATTATAGCACATATTTACATTTACACTGGAGTGTTGTAAAGAAAATCCAGGAAAATATTTCCTCAGATGGATTTTAAAATCTAGAACTGGATGTAGTTCTAAATTTACAAACATCTCCAACTAACTGTTACACTGATATAATTCAGGAAGAAATTCATATACCCTTTACCAGACAAAGCTAGTTCTCAACTAGTATGATATTGAGTTCTACCAAGTTTTATACAAGATAACTATAAAAAATATGGATCATAACATCTGGGTCATTCCTGGTAACAATTTCTACTCAACTATATTTTTGATCGAAGGACATTTTGATAAGTTATTTGAAATGTTACATTCTTCAACTCATTACGGTACTCACTTCGTGAAAGTTGGGTGGTATTTCATATATTGCATGCAAATTACCTAAAGCAAAGTGATTAAAGTCTACAATACACATATACTCTCAACATGCATTATATTAAAGCTGTCTAATGTATGATTGACTCATTTGTTATTCATTTCAGCTTTATTTAACACGGGCTTCAATTTAACAAATGCTTTCAGGAAGAGCACTATGATCATATTAATGCAGGATCACTTAGAGAAGAAAAAATTGCATACACAGAAATAGTTTACATTAATTCTATATCATGACGATATTGTGTGTTGAGGGTCTGACAGACATTAATTAACGTACAGCACTTGTAGGCGGTTAGTTGACAATATAGATAGATAAAGCAATAGTTCTTTAGCTGGGGTCATTTCTGGTGATAAATCAAACAAATCATTTCAGATTTTATTTAATCATAATTTATTATCAAACAAATACCGTACAAGTAACTACATCCCCAATGATGGTTGACATGATAGCATTAAGAGTTGGTATAGTAGTTCACTCATTAGACTCAATCCAAGAGTTGAGGGTTCAAATCCCAGCTAGCCCAGCTCTAACATCCTTGGCAAGGCATTAATCCACATTTGCCACTCTCCACCCAGGTATTACTGTGCACCCGACATGCCAAAGCGCTACATATTTGGCCGCTGCCTAGGACCAGAGTAATAATGTTTGAGTGCAAGGAGGGTCATGGCGCAACGGGCGTGTGCAGTATATCAGAAGCCACTATTATTATCTTTTTAACTACTAGTCCCTGGTGTTGTCACCTTCTATACACATGCATAATGCATGATCGTAGCGGAGTAAAAAATGACCCCCTATTTAGAGTATTTTTCAAAAACATTTACCACGTAACATGACCCCTTTCTGCATAA